TGGTTCAGCCGTCACATCCGCCCAGGGGGCCAGGCAGAGCCGAGCCTCACTGCATGTAACCCAAGTGCCCACCTCACTGAGGGCCTGTCCCAGGAGCTGCTGGGGCCATCTCTCCCTGCCTGGGCCATCTGGGGTTCACCGCCCCCTGCAGCAGGAGGGCTGGGAGCCTGGACACTCCTATCCTATTTTATATTACCGTCCACACTGTTTATACAAATGTTCCATCTTTAAAAATCCCTACTGAGCTCTTGGCCTCAGGAAGATCTTGTAGCAGTGAGTTCCACAGGTTAACAATTGTACACTCTGTATATCTAATTGTATTGCTTCTCCATGTACTGCCTATAAACCATCTCAGCACAACAAGCAACTTCACAGCCCCCACTCTCTCTGCACCTAGTGGATCTGAAACCCGGGTGAGGGGCTCGGGAACCAGGAGAAGGAACAGTTGTCACTAAGGGGGCTTTGTGTTGTGGCAGCACCTGAGGCCGTTGGGTGAGGGTCAGTAATGGCTATTCCTGCCACGCTGGTGCTGCACACAGCCCAGAGCCAGGCCCTACCTGCAGAGTTTGCAGCTCATGTCACAAGATACAACCCTTAAGATCAGCAAACAATGGGGGAGGGGAACAGGGCTCTGGCTTCAGGTGACACTGCGCTATATGGTGCACGCAGCCGCATCTGGCCCGTCAGGAAGGGTTTGCTCTGAGTCTAGGTGAGAGTCAAACTCTGCCCCCAAGTGTGTCACTGTGCGTGTGTCAGTCTGTGTGTCACTGTGCATGTCAGTGTATGCGTGTGTCACTGTCAGTCTGTGTGTGTGCGTGTGTCACTGTGTGTCAGTGTATGTATGTGCCACTGCCAGTCTGTGTGTGTGTCACTGCGTGTGTCAGTGTGTGTGTGTTACTATCAGAGTGCATGTGTCGGGTGCATGTTGCTGTCAGTGTGCATGTGTCAGTGTGTGCGTGTCACTGTCAGTGTGTGTGTGTCACTGTGTCAGTGTGTGTGCGTGTGTCACTGTGGGCGCGTGTGAGACGCAGCGGTTTCCTGTGGGTTACATGCTGTTCACACACATCTCAGGCCCCCAGGGCTACAGGCAGATCCCGATCGGGTGCCCCCCGGAGAACAATGCAGGAACACTCAGCATGGCACGCGATGTGCACTGCTCTGGGTGACAGCTGGACACTCACAGGGCCCGGCTGGCCACTGCAGCTGGGTGCTGCTATCGCTGCCCTGCTCTGTCAGGCTGGCAGTGCCGCCCCCATCAGCCCTCACCGCTCACCACAGCGCGGTGCCATGAGCAGCAGCAGCGCTGGCACCAGTGGATCAGTAGCACAGGGAAGAACCAGGATCTGTCAGAGCCACGGACCTGGACCTGGCAACCTCCTGATTCCCCAGCCCCTGCCAGCACCGAGAGCCTCCCGGCCCCAGTGAGAACTAGGGGAGCAGGCGTCCCAATGTTATCGGGCCTCCCCCCAATATCGGGGCACACACACCCCAAAAATAGCATCCGGATTTGTCACCCTTGCTCTGTCTCCCCTGCACAGCAAAGGCAGCAGCACTGGCAGTGTGGAGGGAAGAGCTGGGCAAGAAAGGCGAGCTCTGGCTGGCAGCATCATGGTGCCCACCAGACCTGGGGTAGGCCTCTCGGGTACAAAAGCAGCAGGGCCTGGGGCTCCCCCCATTTGCCATGCAGAAAGCCCGGCAAGGCCCCATCCCAGCCCCCTGATGGCGCATAGGGCATGGGCAGGGCAGAGGCTGGGGTGGGGCCAGCAGGCCGCTGGCACTGGGGGTGGTGCTGCTGCAGACATATGATAAGGGGAGACGGCGGGCGGATTTACAGCCGTGGTGCTGCCTGCTCCGGTAGTGTCGCCCGCTCTGTTCCGCCAGGTGCGCTGGGGAGACAGGCAATAAATCTCCAATTTAATAACCTGGTCTCCCTGGCGCAGAGGCCCTGACCCCACCAACCCCGCCGGGACTGGGCCGAGTGGCTCCCGCCTCACAGCTCATTGGAGGTGCAGCTCACCACTTCACGGCTCTGCTGCCTGCAGGCAGACAGACATTAACCCTGAGCACCCCTGCTGGGGCTGGGAGAGACGGCCAACCTGGGCCCCCACCCTGCACCATCAGCACAGCCTGCCGGTACCGGGACGGACGGTAATGCAGCCATTAATCCTTAGCTGTTTCCTGTTCCAGGTGATAGGAATCACCCTGGCGCCGGGTCCTTCCCCGCCCCACACAGAGTTCACCACCGGCCCTTCCGGGGGATGGGGCGTCATTGCCACCAGCGCAGGAGAGGGAGGTTAGAGGTGGGGACAGTCTGCGATCAGCCAAGGCCAACACCTGGCAACCAACTTCAACTGCGTGAGAGGCACTCCCCAGGCACAGGGGCAGCATGGAGAGCTCTGGGCAGCACAGGGGGTTGGGGGGCAGCACAGAGGGCCCCTGGGGCCAGAGGAGAGTTGGCGGCAGCATGAAAGGCACCTGGGTCACAGGGGGCTGGGGGCAGAGACAAGGGCTCAGGGGGTCACAGGGGAGGTTGTGGCTGCGGGTCGGGAGTGAGGGGCACCGGCAGAACTGAGGAGAGCCCAGGGCTGGGCTAGCAGGGGCTGCGGGTCAGGAGTGAGGGGCACCGGCAGAACTGGTGGGGGCAGGGCTGGCCTAGCAGGGGCTGCAGGTCGGGAGTGAGGGGCACCGGCAGAGCTGGGGGGCAGGGCTGGACTAGCAGGGGCTGCGGGTCGGAGTGAGGGGCACCGGCAGAGCTGGGGGGCAGGGCTGGACTAGCAGGGGCTGC